ACACACACACACACACACACACACACACACACACACACACACACACACACATATGTATTTATCTATCTTTACAGTAAACTATGCTTTAGTATAATAAGTTAATTAATTGCTATAATATAGAAGAATACAAAATTGTTTACCTGGAAGATGACCCGTAGCTCTTTCCAAACAAAAGTCCGAGTTTTTTTCGATCAATTTTTTTTTTTTTTTACATTACAAGACTCCTCAACTTAGCGAAGGTGATCGCAACTTTCGCTTGAGCCTTGTTCATGGCAGAAAACCTGCCTGGGAAGCAGCAGTACGGCTAAAATGCAGTGCTTGTATTGTTCTCCACTTATACAAAGATTTTAGCACACTTGAAAAGTCCGGGATAGGCAAAGAATAGGACAGTCTCGAATGACCAGCCCTGTTCAAGAGAGGCAGATTTAGCTGTCGCATATGCGAAATCGTTAAGCTGTACGTATTAATCGTTAAGCTGTACGTATTACGCTTTGCTTTTCACGATATTTATGTTTTTATTTTACAATTTAGTCCAAAAGTTCAGGTACCTCAGAGCCTTTTTGAGTATTTTCGAGTCTTTGTTCGGTTTTCAGTTTAGTTGTTTAGTTAAGTCTGTTGTTGTTGTTGTTTTTTTTGTTTTTATTTTCTATATTCATACAAAACATATGGGGTGGGGGCTGATCATTGATTTAAAACAGATCTTCTTATCATTTATGTACAATGCTGTCAAAATATTTTATATCAAAGTATGATGTTTGCCTCGTATTCGAAACCTGACAGCGACGAAAAATGTTCTTTAAAAAAAAGTTCTCCTTCCACCTTCTTTTCTGCTTCCTAACCATGTTTTGTAGTCTGTTTTCGTCTCCACTTTCTGCCCCCTCTCCCCACCCCTCCCATTTGCCCTCTTCTCTGGGCTCCTAACTCTTTTGGCAGCCTTCTACTGCTACTCCTTGGCTCCATACTGCTGTCTTTGAGCCACACCGCGGATCTTATGTTAGGAAAGATCTAACTCCGAGCCTTCTCGGATGAAAGTGGAACATCTCTGAGGTCCCGTGTGTAAGTTGCGCCCATAAAGATTTCTTGGCGGTCCTAAAATCGATAAGAGTAGTCTTCAGCCGCCACCTGGGCAAAATTCAAAATGCCCACAAATGGTAAATTAATGTTTAATGTGTCCCGCGCTCTCGTACAACATTATGCAGTTGCGAGCGCCGCAACACACTTACCAAAACAAAAAAGCGCGCTCTCTCTCCCCCCCCCCTCTCTCTCTCTCTCTCTCTCTCTCTCTCTCTCTCTCTCTCTCTCTCTCTCTCTGTGTGTGTGTGTGTGTGTGTGTGTGTGTGTGTGTGTGTGTGTGTGTGTGTGTGTGTGTGTGTGTGTGTGTGTGTTCTCCCTCTCTCCATCTCTTAAAATGGGTTAGGGGGAGGGGGGGAGTGTTTGGAGAGTATTTGGCATTACACTCTAAAAACTTCATTACTTTTATGCGTCTGCAGCTTGTTAATGCTTGCCGACTGGAATCCAACAAATGATATTTATTGAGAACGGCACAGAGCAGCGACTGACATGCACATTCGTGTTCCCGAATGATTTAAGCAGTTTAGAATCTTTCTCTTCATTGCCACTCTGGACAAAAGTAATAAATTCTGCTTCTAATTTAGACTCGCAGCTCGGAACTCGTTTCGCACAGAGCAACAGCTTAATTAATTGTTTTGAAGAGAGGGAAATTGGAATTTTATCTTCCCCAGTTCCGACATTGAGACGCATCCTTCATTATTACGCTTGACGGCCCGTCTGAAGATCCCAGGCCAGAGTTTAATAGACGGAAATAAAATAAAATTAACGGCAACGCCATTTAAAAGGAAACAAAAGTACGTGTACTCAACAGGCGCTTGCGGTGTATTAGTTATTCTCTTTAGTTAGTCTCAAAATAGATATGAGTTCGAAAGCCGGAGATAGACACTATCTTCTTTGCAATACCAACTGTCTTTTTTATTGGATCCTATTTTCCATTCAGTCCTGGCTCCGGCTACCCTGTTAGGCAACTTGCCTCCTAACTAGTTCAACTTTTGACGTTGGAGGTGTAGAACAACTACAATCATCTCAATTGAGACCATTTTCTGGGCTTCCACCCTGCCTATTAGGGTCAAGCCGGTCTGAAAGGGATACAACGTCAAAGCAGAAAAACTGAGGCACTCAATACATATTCTAACTACACGAGAATCAATGTCAGGTCTTCTGCGTGCAACGGCGAAACTCTTAACCGTCACATCGCATTTTCTGGAAAACGTGTCAAAAGATTAGTTTGTTTCTGTAGCTAGCTGTTTTTGTGTTTTGTTGTCACTGGACTGAGGGAGACTCCACAGAGACTAGAAGGTGGTTTTCCTTCACAGGACTTGTGAAATGACTTATGAAACATGTCTTTTTACCCTTATAATTTGATAGCGTGGTTTGGCCACTTCACGAGGAAGCCCCTCTCCTTGCCCTTTATTTAGTTCCAAATAGAGTCAAGCGTTGACCTCCATGGTGAACTGGAATTACGTTACAGTGTACCGTTTTGGATACTTTAATACAAGTCAATGTACGGTGCTCACCTCATACACAAACTCTGTCTAGACGGTAAACCTAAGCATTATTCCCTGTAAGACAGTAGGACAATTTGCATTCGTCGCACGGTTGTGGGGTTGCAAATGAGGCAATTTCCACCCGTTCGTCTCTCTTCTTTCGCCAAAATGACGCCATACTTCGCAGTCGTGGGAGGAGTGGAAATTTCTCTCGTCAAGGATTACCTTCCTCTGCACGTGTCGATAATTTACTGGAGTGACCGTTTTATAACGGACTTATTTTGTAAAAATTTGACCGTAAATGTTGCTTGTTGGTAGATAGTATCACAGCTGTTAACTTCCTAGATTTGCAGATTTGTTGCAGTTACATTCATTTTTACTGTCACTTAAAATCCTTTTCGGCTCTGTTCATGTTGTGCTACCCCTTTAGCAGCATAGATATTTTAAGCGATTTTGTGGAGTGCAGACAGGGCAGAAAGAGAAAATGGAACTGAGCGGGGAGAGCGGTGGAGATAAGAGTGCAAAGAGGAAAGAATTGAGGACAATTGCCAAGAAGATGGAACACGTTATTTTTGTACTGTGAAGGATGAGCGCATTCCAGGAGCGGGGTTTGGGTGTGTGTGTGTGGGGGGGGGGGGAATCGACTAAAGATTTGTAGGTTGTTATTGTTACTGATTGGTCTGTATTCATCCGTGGCACGAGTTACTATTTTGGGGGCTCTAACAATGGGATAGTCTTCTTGTTCACGTAAAGATGTGTGGTTCAGACCTCAGGACAAAGAAAGAGCTACGAGAAAATGGAACCACAGAGAGAGAGAGAGAGAGAGAGAGAGAGAGAGAGAAAATAACAGGAAGAAGAAAACCTCTGAAGAATGCAAGCTATTTATCTGGTATGGTGAAGAAATTTACGTTTTGATAACAAGAATACAAAAGCAAAAACAAGTCACTTAGTGCAGAATGCACTACTGAAGGTCCCACATAGCCAAGGATATTGTCTTTGAACCGGAGCTCACTACCCATTGAAATAAGCCTCACAAAAAAACCCCCAACATTTCCACTCGTTGCACGGCTGCAAGTAGATTCTAAGCAAATGGGGCACTTTTTGCCTGTTTGTCTCGCTTCCCTGTATGTGACGTCTTTCGCAGACGGACAAGGGGCGAAATTCTTCTACAGTGCGGTCAAAAAATAGTGGCACATTTTTATCCTCAAATATCTCTTCAATGTCACCCATACTTTGCACAGCAGTTTGTATCAATTTGTCTTTACTTAATCATATTTTTCCACAACAATTGGGGCAAGATTAAAAAAAATAAAACCTTTCTTCATAAATACAACAAATCTCCATCACGCCGAAAATTGAATTGTTCACAGCACTTCCCGCTTCTGAAACATATTTTGCGCAGGCATATTATGGTCAAAGTCACTGCTCACCGATGACTCTTTTTAGCGGCAAGACTAGTTACAAGAAATTAATTTTACATTGAACACTTTTTTGCACTAAAAGTTATCAAAACATGCATTCAATAAACATAATCTCGCATTTCGAAAAAAAAAAATGACAGACTTGCTTACATGAATATTGTCCCAGCTGTAAACGTTTAATTAAAAAATCTGTACAAACCACTTACTGTTTTTTTTAAAAATTGGTATTTTAAGGAATTTTCAAGAATAGAGCCAACAGGTGTTTACAAAAATATTGATCTGTTTATAAAAATTGATACAAGCCATTGTGCAAAAGCTGGGCAGTTTATGTTTGATAGTTGAGGAGATGTTCTGACAATAAGTTCCGCCACGAACTTTTGACGGCACAATAGTGTGTGAGCGGGGGCCACAGAATTCTACACTTATAGAAGCGGAACTCCCTCTTCGCGATCGCCGATTCGCTGTGAGGAATTGAAACTAAAACATGGCGGCCGGTTGAGGGCACCTTTGGCTGCGCCGCACAGCGAGGCTTCGCGTTGCTATGCACGCTGATGCTAGTGGTAGGGCTTGGAAGACACCTTACATCAGTATTTTAAAACTTTCTTCGAAGAGGAAATATAGTGAAATAGTCTAGTACATTTTTATTATGTCATAATTGGCAATGTTACAATGTTTTTGTATTTGTATTGTTGGTTTGTTGTTGGTTTTTTAATGATGGGATGGGATCTAGAATCTAGATCTAGATAGATCTAGATCTCTAGATCTACTAAAGACCTTCACAATCA